CTACTGCTTTATTATAAGGGAGAGATCAGCCTTAAAAGGAGGAGGAGGAAGAAGAAGAGGTGGAAGAAGAAGAGGAAGAAGAGATTGGATTTATACCCCGCCCTTCACTTGGAGTCTCAGAGCGGCTTACAAGCTCCTTTGCCTTCCCCTCCCCACAACAGACACCCTGTGAGGTGGGTGGGGCTGAGAGAGCTCTTGACAGAAACTGCTCTTTTTCAAGGACAGCTGTGCCAGAGCTTGTGACTGACCCAAGGTCACATCAGCAGGTGCAAGTGGAGGAGTGGGGAATCAAACCCGGTTCTCCCAGATTAGAGTCTGTGCACTTAACCACTACACCAAACTGGCTGTAGATATCCAAAAAGGATATCTATCTATCTGAATTAAAACAGAAACAGAAAACAAGGTCCACAACGGAACACCAAACAAGATAAGTCTTCACACACTGACATAAGGGAATGATCCACAGAGCTGCCACGATGCAACTATTCATGACAGTTGATAACTTTTGATGAACTTATACTTTCTCTTATCTTTTCCCTTTTTGTATCCCACTTTTTAAAAAAAAATAAAAATTTCTATCTTGCAAAAAAAAAAAAAAAGAACAAATCCAAAGTTGCCCTGATGTGCTGAATTGTGTCCTGGTGGTTTTCTCTGCATGCTTGTCCTGATGAGTGGGCACGGCGGGATTGAGAGGGACCCCACAGAAGTGGTGCATTCTGGTGTATCGAATGGCTCCGTAGACATGACTGACATGGGGATGTCACTGGCATGTTGCTCTGTGATGTCTTGTTCCCCTTGCTGAGAAAGGGGATAGAGTAAGCTGGCATAGTGATGGTTAGGACTGGGCTCACATCGAAGGAGGAGGATTTATACCCTGCCCTTCACTCGGAGTCTCAGAGTGGCTTACAATCACTTTCCCTTCCACTCCCCACAGCAGACACCCTCTGAGGTAGGTGGGGCTGAGAGAGCTCTTTCAAGGACTGCTCTTGAGAGAACAGCTCTGAGAGAACTTTGACTGACCCAAGGTCACCCAGCAGCTGCATGTGGAGGCGTGGGGAATCAAACCTGGTTCTCCAGATTAGAGTCCACTGCTCTTAACCAGTACACCAAAATGGCTCTAACTTACAGCTCACATAGAAAACGTTCAGGATTTGCTACTTCTCCTGCAAATGGACAGAAACTCTCTCAGAGTCACAACTGATAGGAGTGTCAGCATGTTTGGATATTAAGCTAAATTTTATAATATTAGAAACACGGAATTCTTTCATAATGTATTATTATTAAAGACATTATAGCATATTTCCCCCAAATGGGAAAAATTGAGAATGCCTAAGTTCTTTTTCATGCTGTACATTTTGAATGTGAAATGCCTGGCCTTCATTCTTAAAAATAAAATATTTCATAGTGGTTTTTTTCCAGTGTTTCTCCAAATCTTCCCATTTTTCCATCAGAATTTTTTTTAATACCATAAGAAAACTCCCTCCCCTTTGAATTTTTCTATTTTTTCTGGGCTTTATAGATCAAAACTAGCACTTCTAATTGATACTGGGTGCCTACTGGTTGAATAGGTTTGCACCTTTCCATCCTGGTTGAACAGAGTTCTTGCAGTTATCTTTAAAGGCAGCCACAGGTAAAATACATGTAGTAGTCAAACTGGTAAATTCGCAACACATGGATTAGCATGGAAAATTCTTCTCCATCCAGAAAGAGGCGAAGTCTAGAATAACAGACTGAAATTATGTACTCCTAGCTGTCCTGTTGAATGTCTGCTTTCCATGCTAAGTGAACATACACATGCACACATACGAAGCTGTCTTAGACCATTGGTCACTATTGTCTACTTAGACTGGCGGTGGCTCTCCAGCATCTCAGCAGCGGGATCTTTCATATCACCTCCTGCTTCGTTCTTTTAACTCAAGATTGCAAGGATTGAGCCTGGGAGGGGTTGGAGGGGGAGGTATTTGTGAATTTCCTGCATTGCCCAGGGGGTTGGACTAGACGACCCCGGAGGTCCCTTCCAGCTCTATGATTCTACGACCTTCTGCATCCAAAGCTGAAGCTCTAAGCCACAGCCCCTCCCCAAGTGCGCGGTATCCCTGTAAAATAAAAGACTTAATTGAAAAAGTCATGCTTCCCCCCAAGAAACAAAATTCCATAAAGGCTTCTAAGATGTTCCCCTCCCGCCTTCCTAAATCCTTCTCTTCCCCCCGCCTCCTAGCAGCAGCAGCCAGACCGCCTCCGCCCCCACCCTTCCCTCCTCCAGCATCCGGGCACTCGAAATATAAAGCCTCGTCACTGCACCTGCGCAAAGAGCCTGCAGTCCCTTCGACCTCTACCGCTGCCGGGTAAGTAGCAGGCCGACGCGGGCTGCAGTGCATCCGTCTCCATCGGCGCGCTCCTCCTCCCCCCCGGAGACGGGAGCGGCGTCTTTGCAGCGCCTCAAGCTCTCCTTTGTCTCCCCGCAGCGAGCCAGGAGACCCAACCCGCACCCGCAGCGCTCCCGCAGCCGCCCCTTCAGCCGCCCGGCAGCAGCAAGCAGAAGCCGCATCCCCACCGACCATGTTCGCCTGTGTCAAGCTCGCCGCCGGCTCGCCTGCACTGGTGAGTTGGGGGGACGACGACGACGCTGCTGTAGGGCAGCCGCTCCCCTCTTGTAATGGGGGTATTCTGGGAGCCTGCCTGCCTGCCTCCTTCCTCCCTCGTGTCCTCCTCTTGCTGTCAGTCTTTTTTCCTTGGCTGGGGAGGGCTGTGCGGGCAAGGGCCCCGGGGCTGACTCGGGTTGCGCCTTCCCTTGGAGGCCTAGCGGTTCTGGCTTTGCTGCAGGTCGTTTTCCGCCCGGCCGAATTGCTACTTGCTGGGGATCCCTTTGCTTTTTTTCTCCTCCTTCCTCCTGATCTGCTGCAAGCAAAGTCTTGGGTTCCCTTGCTCCCTCCCCACCTTAATTACAATTAAATCAGGTCTGCTGCCATGGGGGGGGGCGCGGGGGGTTGAGCTTCCTGCCACGGGAAGAGGCTGGTGTGGAAATCTGTGACCTCTAGAGTGCAGGCGAACCAAGGACACGAGCAGGCCGCGACTGAGCTTGGGGCTCTCTTGCTCATTCATTTCATTGGGCCTTCGTTAGATTGGGCGGCTTTGCCTCTGTGCCTGCTGGAAGCGGCGGAGCCCGGAGCGCTGTCCTCTTTGGGGAAGGGTTTCCCCTTGTCTGTGGGAGGTTTAGTTTGCTTTGTCGGCGGTCTGAATTGCTTAAGTGAGAATTAGAAAGCTCCGTTCAGATGTTAGTCGAGGATCTTGCTGTACTTTTCTACAAAAGCCTTACGGAACTGTGGGGTTGGTTACCTGAAGGTCATTGAGACTAGCTCCTTATGCAGTAGGAATGAGGCACCCCTTCTACAGGGACCCATAGTTCGCTGGCTGGAACATACCTCTGGCAAGAGTATGAAGTTCCCTCAGCAGTGCATTTTTTACAAAGTGTAAGTAAAGCAGTAGTATATAGTATGGGCTTGCTTGCAGAAAATGTTAGAGAACAAATCAGGGTTATCAAGTAGTTGTTCCTGCTCTGAGACGTAATCTTTGCAGGGCAATTAAAAATGTCTGTATGTTTCCCAAGAGAAGAAATGTCTGTATGTCTCCCAAGCTTTCTGACAGGAACCTGTGAACATTGGTGTCTAAACTCCTTATTACACATCCCTTATGGGAAACTACTGTACTTATTTATTTTATTTATTTATTTATCAAATTTATACGCCGCCCTTCATGCAAGTGGGCTCAGGGCGGCTTATGGGAAACTACTGTATTTATTTTACTTTATTTATTTATCAAATTTATACGCCGCCCTACCTGCAAGCAGGCTCAGGGCGGCGTATGGGAAACTACTGTACTTATGGGAAACTACTGTACTTATTTATTTTATTTATTTAT